ATCAGGAAGTGCCTAGACGATCTTGGCGTTAAGGACAACAATCTAGACCGATCAATTTCTTATTCTAGGTCGCTAAGTCGTTTTCCCCTTTTTCCCGTACGTTCTTGAACCTTGATCATGCAATTGTTTCTACTGCATGTGTATACTAGTTTCTCTATTCAAATCTCAGCTCAATTTAGGTTCTAAGAGCTGTTTTCTATCACCAATCGGTGAATTGTAGGTTTCTGTTGAGTTTCCTTGCGATGCAAGTTTCAATCGGGGTTCTGTGAGTTGTGTAGAGCTTGAGTGAGGTAAGGAAAGCTGGATTTTATCTCTTTTTATTTAATTATATTGTGCATGTGTGAAGAGTATGTTAGTTATATATAATGAGCTGAATTGTTGACTTTGATATTAGAATGAATGTGCTTAAGTGGCTGTTGTAAGTGTGCGTGAAGAAACTATGAATATGAACTAATTTAGATGATGATTTTAATGTTATAGACTAGATGAAATGTTAAAATATGTTATGAGATTGGCTTATGAGAAATTTGAATGAAATATACTGGTTTTAGGTAAATTTTGAAGAGGTGGGGTAGTGAAATTGTGAATTAGGAGTTGTAGGCTGTATTGGTAAGTTAGAATAGGTTAGATAGGTCAATTAAGATTTGTTTGAGTCCTTAAGTGGCTGAAAGTAATGCCAAAAGTGGTAGAATGGGATTTGAGTCTCATTCGCACAATGAATAGATGCGCTGTGCGAATGGTTTGAGAGGTTTGTGCTCTGTCTGATGATCCGCATGGTGAATCAGGGTGCTATGCGCATGGTTGGGGTTTGGTACTACTGCCATTTTTATTCGAATAACGAATAGGTGCGCTCTGCGAGTGTTTGAGGAGTCTGAGCCACTGCTTGGGGCTCTCGCATAGCGAATTGGGGCGTTATGTGAGGGGTTAGGGTCTGATACAATTAAGAGTTTATTTGCACAACGAATTTAATCGTTGCGCGAATGGTTATTAGGGGTGGGTCTCTCTCTGAGGATTCGCACAACGAGTTGGATCGTTGTGCGAGAAACCTCTAGATTTGGTCTGTGAATGTGTGCGCTGTGCGAATGGTCCAGGTTTTAGTTCACCTTTTTCTTTCTTGTATTCCTTGAACCTGAATGAATTGTAATATATTGTAAAGCTTGTCTGATGTGTGAAATATGGTATATGATTTAGTATGATTATGAGTCATGTTCCAAGTTAAAGTATGTGATTTCAAAGTATGGTTGATGGACGTAATTCCATGATCCTCAAGGAGAGGTTACATGGTGGTACCCTATGTTGTGATCCAAAGTGAAGTCTCTTGTTGAGGCTCAAGTATGTTTAGAATGAATGCAGGAGCTCAATCTTGGGGTTATCCTGAAACTCCAATGATCTTTCATTCTCAAGTATATGCTCTAAGGCGTGGTACATACTAACCTCGTGAGTGTGGTAGGGTGAAACCCATTGCCAACGGCTTTGCAAAGCAGTAGAAGCCACCACGAGTGCACAACCCGCCATAACTCAACAATCATTCTAAGTCCGGATGGTCAAGTGTAGGTTATAACATGTTAGGATTGTTTGAACTGGTTTATCTTGCTTATTTAATCTTAAGTATGTTATGTTAAGTAATTGTATAAATTCTTTTATATCTAGCTTACCCTTTGTTTGTGATTGTGTTTTATATATTTGGTGTTCTTCTTTTGCAATGATCACCTTGTGGGTGTGAGTAGTGGGAGAGGAGGTGCCTCTGGAGCAGGCGTTGGACGGAGGAGATGTTGTCGAGTAGTTAGTTTTAGTTTAATCTTGTAGATGGTTTTGAGTATCCGGTTGTGTATATAAAATTTTAAATTTTATGGTTATTTTGGATGATTGTAAAGTTAATACTTTATTTACTAGTCTCTAATTGTTCTATCTTATTATTTTTGTAACTAGTATTATATAGTTTATGACTATATTTTGGGATTTTACATCTGATGTGTCTAATTTTTCATTTTACACTCTAATATTTAGTTTATTGTGAGTTATTTTAAGTATAATTTTAATAGAAACTAAAAATAAATTATCTATATATTATAAAATTAAAACAGTAAAATAAATATATTATGAAAACAAAATAATAATAAGCAACAAAAAAATTATAAAAAATTTAAGAAATAATTATAAGAAACTTCATTTTATATTTTATCTGTAGGTGAATTATTAATTTTTAGCAATGAAAATATTTTTTTTAATATTTATCTTTTTAATTTATCTATGAGGTTTTACATCGATTTTTAGAGGCCTAACGTAACATCCCAAAATACAGTAATTACCATAATCAGAATTAATTACATTAAAACAGTAAAACAATGCAGTCTTTACATTAATAAGAAACGAGGTTCAAAAGCCGAATGGCTTGGTTACAAAAATAACGAGCGAAAAACATGAACAGGGATAAACTGGGACGAACGGTTTTACAAAATATTTAACCGAACGTCAAAACTGGAACTAACATCTACAACTCTAATCTAAACGAGCGCTCTAGGGCTCGTTCTTGACTTCCACCTCGACCAGATTTTCTTCTTCAATGACGTCCTCCAGAGTGGCCTCGCCTTCTGCTCACATCCACACGGATGATCATTGCAAGACAAGACGAACGTACATAGACAGTTTGACAACACAAGGAAAAACGAAAGGGTAAGCTTAAGTACTTTAATTTATACATCAAACATACAATAAACTTTTCATTTCACACAAGCACAGAGTTTAACATATAACATCATCCAAATTCTATATGTATATATATATATATATATAAGACGACCGTCCGGACTGTATGAATCTGTATAGTTACAAGCGTCCTTGCACCCGAGTGATGTAGTAACTGGGATACACCAAACAGCTGCCACTCGAGGTTAGTCCGTTCTTACGTCGCCCATGTTAACTGATGGACTAAGGACCTCCTGCCATTCCCACACATGAACTACCCTCTTCTACGTGAAGATGAGTATCACGGAACATCAGGATGGACAGCGAGTCTTAACTTATCCACAGTCATACTTTACCAAATTTAATATTTAATATATGTAAGAGTCGTTCCTCCCTGGAACGCTCTTCCAAAATCCATAATCATATTATCACTCATTATAGTGTTCACACTGTAATTTCTTATAATTTATCATCATTCTCATCTTTAGTTTTAAGAGCATAAAAAGACGAACGTTTAGTCCTTTGAAGAATTAGGACGAACGTCCAAATAAGGTACTGTATGGACGAACATGACTATCTATTTGGTCAGTTAAATGAAATGACTCGATTGAAGGTATACTGGTACTTAGAAAAAATTTCATAATAAAGATCTTGAACCAGATTTAATGTAAGAAGGATGGTCAATAATACTTAGAATTTTCTTTGTAAAATTTTGTATATGGGAGAGCTATGCCAGTATTTGAACGAACGTAAGAAAATGAATATTTTAATACTTGAACGAACGCTATTTTATCAAATGGTTATTCCACATTACGAGCGCTTGGTATAGGACCGAGCACCGCTTATGACGAACGCTAGGTATAAGACCGGGCGCTATTTAGGACGAACGCTTGGTATAAGACCGAGCGTTACTGATTTTAAAGTTTAAAGTATTTATATACAACTGAGCTGAACCGAACGCTCTGATAGTAATTCAAATGAGGACGCTCGCACTCGATCAGAATTCTTTCCGAATGAAAGAATTCCACTCTAAGTCAATTTCAGGAAAACCGTACGGTGTAAGACCATACGATGACGAACGTAATTTATCAGGGGAAGAATTATCATATCCAGATTTTTCAACTATCTTAACTCAACATTTCTCTGGTGATTCATACTTTGTAAATTCATATCCATTATTAATTCTCATACTATACAGATTTCATCATATTAATAATTCAAACTATACTATATTCATACACCTTTCATACGTATCAAAAATCAACATGCATTTCAACCAACAGAAAACATATTTAATATCATTGATCGTTCATAACAGCTCAATCAGCATACTTTTCATGCATCCAATTTATATCATACAACATGCACGTATAAATTAAATTACTAAGCTTCCCTTACCTGGATAGCAGTGTACTCCCAAAAAAACAAGGTTTAGTTCGTCCTCTAACAGCGTTCTACCCTCAGGTTTCGGTCAACGACTTTCACTAAATCTAAAACACCAGAAATCAGAAGCAACTCAGACCTATAACCCATGCATGCAACCAAACTAGGGTTCGCATGAAACCAAATGGACGAACGGTTAGCGACTAGAACTTACCAGTTCCGATCCCAATTCTGTTCGGTCCAGAATGACGTTCACGTCTCCAGGAACGTTTCTACGGTTCTGAAACGTGATCGGAGAAGAAGGTGATGAGTTACAGTAGAGAGAAGGTGAACTGGTTTTAGAGAGAAGGTGGAGAAAATGAAGAGTTGAGTTTCGTGAGGAAGAAGGTGAATGCAGAGAGTGAGAAGAAATGTTTTCAGAAAAATCATTTTTCTTCCCAACGTCAAACGGACGTGCACTCTCATGCGGACACTTGTTTTCCACTGCAGATTCAGAATGTTCTAACGTGACAAATGTCAGGCGTGCAGCAGAGAATGTGAGTGCGTTTTAATGAGACTGAGGGTGTGGCACGGTGCATTTAAGGAAGCAGCCAGGTGATTCAGCAGTGCATTGATAACAGATTAGACATGATAATTATGGTTTAATTTTTCGAGGTTTCACAGGTATCGACTTTATTGGACATGAAAAATAGTTATTTCTTTATTTTTTTCCTTTTTTTTTCTTTTAGAAAATTTTATGAAAAATAATGATATTTTGATAATATTTTAAATTATCTGTGTGTTATTTTTTGTGATTGGTCGAAAATTTTTATAAATATCATTATTCTTGTATAAATTCAAATTAGAAATTTGTGAGCGAACCTGGATTAGTATATAATTTTCCTTCTGTCACATGCAGTGGTTGAGTTGGCCCCACACTCTGAAACCTGAGCACACTGAAACCATCTTCTTGAGTCCTTAAAAAACCACTTTTCTCTTTCCCGATAAAGCTCCAAAATTGCATCACTTTCTTCTTCTAGCTCCTCTTCAAGTTTTCCTTTTCCATCCCATAATTTTCCAAGTAAGTTACCGATTTCGTTATTATTCTTTCGTCTCAACTCAACTATATTTCTAACATATTTATTACTAATCTTCTCTTCTTTCCTCATTTATATCGCGTTTTTTCATTTCTTACCCAATCAATCGTTCAATGATTCCTTTCTAATTAAGCCCGTTTTCATTGTTACTATTTTTCTGATTCTTTTCTTCCGTTGATACATGCAGTTGAAGAACACCTTGTGGAAGAACAGTTTGAGAAAGAACCCTAGTGAGTTTTGACTTTGTTTGAAAAACATGGGTAGAGGAAAGATCGTGATTCGAAGGATTGACAATTCCACTAGCCGGCAAGTGACGTTTTCCAAGAGAAGAAGTGGGTTGGTGAAGAAAGCTAGAGAACTGTCTATTCTCTGTGATGCAGAAGTTGGATTGATTGTGTTCTCCAGCACTGCCAAGCTTTATGACTATGCCAGTTCAAGGTAGTATCAATTTCTTCTCTCTTTTTTTCCATTTCTCCATCAATCTATTAAATCAGTGTTCTTCTCTTTGCATTCTACTGATATAAAATACTCAGGAATTCCAATGTCTGAAAGTAAGAACTTTCTAGGAAAAAACCTCATGGGATGGGGTTACATATACACTTTTTGGGAATATATAATTTTATAGACAAGGAATGTGGAAACCTTTTCCTTTGATTTTTCTTCAAGTGACCACCATACATTTTATCATCAATTAACTTATGAATCATTGTTATATTGTATAGATTATTCCATCCTCTCATCAATCTGATTCTGAATCCAAGTAACAGTTTTGCTGTTTTTCTGATGGTTAATGCTTGGAGGAAGTCTAATTGTTTGTCATATTTATGGTTCGTTTCTTATCTGTGGTCAACATTATTTTTCTCAGATAGATTTGAGAGTGTTTGCTATCATCTATAAGCTCAAAGAAAAATCCAAGTTTACAATAAATTAACCAGTTGGGGTGGCTAATCTATGCTGAAGTTTTTGTACGTATAGAAACCCTTCCTCTGCATCTCTTTTCTATGTTTCTTGTATCATTTTGGTTTACAATCTTAAGATTATAGACGAGCATAGTTTTCTAATGTAAGCATTTCAATTAATATTTGTATGCATTTCATATATATATATATATATATATATATATATATATATATAAAAGATTAAAAAGTGACCTACTCAATCCCACAAAATTTAAAAAATTAAAAAGTGGTTTAACTTAATCCCATTGACTGTAAAATAAGATTTACATCAATTTATATATATATTCTAAAATAGTTTTATCGATGCGGATTTCCAACATATAATTTCAACATTTAATTATCACAGAAAAAAATACTTAATGCCCCCTAAACTTTCTGCCTGTTTATGAGTTTAAGAAAACTTATTATTGCCACTCTCATGTTTTAGATTTCAATCGTCAGTCATATTGCTGACTTTTCCTATTTTAAGTTTCAGCTCGATCTTTTGTATTTCCTTTGTTCTTAATTTCAACATTTTAATTTGACGCTTCTGAAAAATTTCTTTGCCCTTCCTTTCGGTACTGACAAAACAAATGTCATTTACTAACACACAATATGTTGTTTGGGTTGCTTTCGTTAAAATAACTTCCAGCTGGTAGTAATTAAATTACTAATATAAATATTACAAAACAATACTAACAATATACTCTATGCTATCATTTGGTGAACTAATAGATTATATAAATATTATAGCAATAAAATTATGTATTATTTTGCAATATACTCTATACATACAATATCAGTTTTTCTGTAAGTTAGAACAGTATTGATAGAAGTAGTGCTTTTAGGGATTTCCAGATATATGATCGTGATCATGTTCCCATCTGATTAATAAATTTTCTGCAGCTTGAAATCTGTTATTGATCGCTATAACAAGGTCAAAGAGGACCATCATCAGTTAATGAACCCTGCTTCAGAAATCAAGGTAACAACCCTAATATTCGAATTTAGTATTATCCTACTTGAATTTAGTATCATCAAAGCCTTATTGTGATCATATAAACTCATCTTCTCATATAAGGTATCACTGGAAAAGAGGTTTTAAGGATCATCTAAAAGCTCTCTTTAATGAAGATTTTTAAACCGTTATTCATTTAATTGTTATTGAAACATGTAACTTCGAGAATCATATATACACATACATATACATGTTGTAATAATGTTAGATTATTGCAAAAGAAAACGTTGGATTACAACGGTCAAAACTTTAATTGCCAACAACGTTCATATTCATTTTATTAAGTGCTCCAACGGTAAAATATTTAATGGCTTTTATTGATTATATTCTTTCCTAACTCTATAAATAGAGTGTTTTTCTCCCATTCCAAAAACATCCCAAGTCAGTCTTCTCTCTTTTTCTTTTCTTCTTTTCCTCTTCTAAAATTATTCTGGGTTTATTCTTATACTCTCTTTAGAGTTCCTTGCTAGTTCTGAGATCCTCAGAAATTCTGAGAAGTTCCTGTTGTATCCTGGGGGGCTTGCGCAATACACCGCGGATAAGTCCTTAAGGACAGTGATCTACACGCCTCAGGAAATTGCGGTTTGAGTATTAGTCATTATTTTTACTACAATCTTAAGGACTTATATTTCAATCTCATTACTGTGAAAAGTAAAAAAGGTATGGAAAGCTTACTTTTCTTTACTTTATGGTGAATTGAACATTTTCTTGAGTATCTTCTTATGATTATGGAAAACTATCTTTGCATTTAAACTGTGATTAATTTAATTGAATGTTTAGTATCATGATTGAATATTTTGGTGTGGTAGAATGATTTATGAATTTTTGGGTTGATCATGTAATTATAAATAAATTGTATTGTTTCTTGTGCGTTATCACGTTATCATCCTTTTGAAATTCAAGAAATTGAATTCTAACTAATTGAATTCTACGTAATAGAATTCTATAAGAAATCACAGAATGAAATGCTATAAGAATTCACGTAATTGAATTCTATATCAGGAGAGATTAATGTTTTTTTTNATACATATGTATATATACATACATATGATGATAGTTCAGTTCTTAGATTTATCTGTATATTGTCATCTTTTTTAAATCAAGTTCAACTGCAGAAATATAGTATAACAGTTCTTTCCATACCTGTCCCTTGAAGCTGCGAATATGATGATAGTTTATATCATATTTGTTATTGTTTCTAGTTTTTTTAATATAAAATATTTACCTCAATTTAATTGACCTATATATATCAAAAAAATTTCTCAATCTATAATTTATAATATACATGTTCAATATTATTTATAATAAACTTATAAAATCTTTTTAGTTATAACGAAAAGCATGTGTATCTAAAAAAAAAATTAAGAATTGCAAAGCCCCGATATTTAAAATATAAAAACCTATAATGAAAAGTTAAAATTAATCAATTAAAATTATAAAATCTAATATAATATGTGAAGTGTGTAATGTGTTGTAAAAGTTGAAATATGTTGTCTATGTGGATTTGATAGAGTAACAGTACATTGAGAGTAAAACAACTATATATCCATTCAATTATGAAAGAAAGACATTATAACTTGAAATTATTTCATAAATTAGAATCAAATTATTTATTATGGAATTAATGAAACATAACATAATTACTTGATCCTGACCTTTCTTAATTCACACAATGGTCATGATCAATTGAATTACATAGTGGTTGCATTTATGGTGTCTTATTTCTTTATTACATTACAATTCAATACATACATAATTAACACATTTAAATTTTAATTGACATGTACGAGCAAATAAATGTGTATTCAATGGATTTAAATATGCCCTCGTGGATTTATGATTTAAGGATCTATACACTTGATTATTCCCTCTCATTCATGCATAACTCAAACACATACCTAATATCATAATTAATAATTTTTAGTAATATAGAAAACTTAGATAAAAGGAAGAAGCCGTAAATCAAGGTTTGATATATAAGTTTAAAGATGACCACCGCAAGAATTATTAGGAAATTCTTGATAAGATGTTGGAAAACCCTAACATATATAACCTCACTTATTTTTGGTAATAATATTTTGATCCATTATGAATTCCAAAAATTGTATAGATACAAATTAAGTTATAGGTCTTGCTTCATTTGTAAGTAAATAAAAGAAAATTAAAATCCCTACATTCCAAGAAAAGATAATTTTTCCTAGTGATTTTGTTTACACATTCTGGGTACTCATGGGTTTCAATCTTGACTACAACTATAATGTTAATATTTTTATTTTAATACTCTAATATGTAATACATGTAAGCTTAGTCTCTTTAACATATTTTTATTTTAATACTCCAATCATGTAATACGTGTCATTAACCTGGTCTATTCAAGGTGTGAGATATTCAATTGAGTCTTCATAAGATGAACCACCTCGTGTTTCAATATTTCTTAGGCTTTTCTAAGCCTTCCTCTAGTCATGGATCCACTTAAGTCCTGAATTGGGTCTTAGTCCTGGTCTTGATGTTTCGTATCATGTATTGGACTTCATACATTGAACTTCCACACCAATAAAACACACATCTAAGGTGCTTAGATTTTCTAAGTTTCATAGCTCTTATATTTTAACAATAGTGCAGAGTAAAAGTTACTTAAAATGTTTATTCAACCAAAGAATTCTACAACACAACTAAAATAGATTCTCAATGAATTTACATATAAATAGCAAAAATATAAAACAAGCATACCATTTATAACCATATGTGTAACTTGTGTTTTCTCCTTTTCCTTTATCATAACTTGTAGAGACTTTTTATAATCACTACAAGACAATAAATTGGGATAACATTTTGTCTTTGAGTAGTGCTTTATTAAAACAAATCCTTTCACTAATGAGACAATATTTATTGATTAGTAAATATTACATTCATGACTTTGAACAAATATTGTCAATTTGGTTAAGATTAAATGTATTACAAAAAGTATTATTTGTTAGATCATGTTTTTGATAACTTTAGGAACATAATAATTTGTTCAAATAATTCAAAACGCATTTCAAAACTTTTCAATAAGTAGGTCCAAGATCTTCCATGAACTTACTAATCATACTAACAACATGTGTTAAATTTGGTATGTTACTTACCATCCCATATATGGTGCTCCCTATTACATTTGAATTTGGAATAGTCTCTATCTTCATCGTATTCTTCAGAATTATAAGCTTAAGTAATTCAGAGCTTTGTGTGATGACTTAAAGGTGTACTTATAGATTTAGGTTGCATAAACCTCTTCACAACCTTCTTCAAATATATTTATTGAGACAGATTCAACCATTCAACCATCTAACCCCTTTATATATACATCGCAAGCATATGTCTCATGAGACCAAAATCTTTCATCTTGAGCTTTGGACTTAATTTTTCTTTTACTTCCTATAAAGATATTGTTTATATACAAAAGCAAGAATAACATTAATTTCTTCTCTTTTAAGGATATAGACAAAACCATCACAATTGCTACTTTGGAACCTTGTCTTCCTAAAAAATATAATCGAATCTATAGTACCTTTGGCATGAACTTTGTTTTAAGCCACTAATTTATTTAAGAGACACACCTTCTTTGACCTTCAACAAACCTTTCAGGTTGTTGTGTGTAGACGGTCTCCTCCAAGTTAACTTGAAGAAAAGTTAATTTAATGTCCAATTGTTCTAACACTAAATTATAATAGTTAACAATTGACATTAAGATTTTTATTGAACAATGTTTTACCATAGGTGAAAAATATTTGTTATAATTTATTCCCTTAACGTATGTAAAATTGTCATGAATATTTCTTTCTCCACACATGATATTTCTTCCTTTTTCTTGAATAGTCATTTGTATCCTACCACCTTCTTATTTCTAGGTAGATTCAGAAGCATCCACGTGTTTCCTCTTAAAAGATTCAATTTCCTTATCCATGGCACATTATGACTACTAAACTTTTATATCTTCTCTTGCCTTTATTAAAATTATAAGTTATGAATTTTTTATCTCTTAATTAGTTGGCAATAAAAGAATAACAAACAAGATTCGCGCACCCAAATTTGTGTTGGTTTCATCGTCCTCCTTTTCCCATCACATGTAAGATAATAGAAGTTCAAATTCACACAAATTGACCTTCTTAAAGGAGAGGTAGAAGGTTGATTCTCGTCATTTGATATGTCATCCTAAATCTTAAATAGTTGGGTTTAAATCTAGAAGACTCCACCTTAAAAGGAGCTTTCTCATTACCATTCTCTATATCTTCATCCATCATAGTCTTCTGAGTCTCATAAAATGTGACTTCATCTGACTTGCCCAAGTTTTAACTTTCATAACTTGTACCTCTTTACTCCTTAAGTGTATCCAATAAAGATCATATGTCTGCACATGTTTCCGGTTTGTCTTTCTTGACATGTGCAAATTTAATGCGTTAAACATCCTTATATTATAGTAATTTGCTATCTTTCCACTCCAAACCTCTATATGAGTCTTAAACTTCATTGATGTCACGTTAATCACATATATATGAAAATGTTTGCAACTTTGTCCCGTAAGGATTTAGGCAAATTACTTCCGGCAACATACACCTTACCAACTTCAAAATGGTTATATTCATTCTCAACCAAGATCATTTTGTTAAGGTGTACCTACAATTGTTTTATGCCTCTTTATACATTTTTTCTTGTAAAACTTGTTAAATCGATATGATACAAACTCTAATTCATTGTCATTTCTAATCATTTAAGTTTACTTATTGTTTATCGATAACAGTGTGTTACTTCTTGAATCTTTCAAAAGTCTTAGTTTTACTTTTCAAGATATAAATCCACAACTTTTATAGATATTAATCTCTGATAGTAAGGAAATAAGACTGACCTTCCACCATAAGGTTTAACCTGTTTTAGAACTCAAAGGTCTGTGTGAGCATACTTAAACAATCTATTGAACACATTCTTATAAGTCTCAAATTTCAATCTAAGAGACATGTTCACTGATCAAAAAATTCTGACTCCTTCATTCTATCACCTCAAAGAAGTTTTGCTTGCCTAGATCCACCAAACTTTTCTAACTTATGTGTTCCAACTTCAAATGTTATGACTAGCCACAAATTCATGCAAATCATTGTTGAATCTTTTATATGTAAAGACCATTCCTTTTCACTCCCTTTAACATATGCAAACACTCTCTTTAATATAGTACCTATTCATTCTTGGTTGTCAATTCTAGACATAAGATTTCTTTCAAACTCTTGAACATATAATAGTTGTTAAACATCACCAGTCTATCTTACATCAAGACTTTTACCTTATAGACTTTATTGTTCCAAAGAAGAACTACATTTCCTTCATTCAATTCTGCTTTATCAAATAACTCATTTATTAGGCAAAGTGTTAGTGCAACTTGAGTCCATGAGCCCATGACTCAATTTCTCTATGTATTTGACATTGACTCCACTACACTCCAATAAATTCACAACTATTAGATGCTACCGAAATCAACTTGAGCCCATGACTCAATTTCTCTATGTAACACTTTGGACCTTCTCTATCGTATCTTTTAATAATTGCTTTTACATCTTTCATTTCTCTCGTTCCTTTTGTTATTCCTGGATGTTGAAACATTCAAACTCTTCCAATTATCATCTTTCTTAGACTCTTTAAGCTTCTTAGTTTAAATTAAGGTTTGAACCTCCTCTAAAGTAATGAATTTTTCCTTCTCAAACAACAAAGCATCTTGAAAATGCTTAAATGCTTCGAGCAAGACATTAAAAAATTGTAAAATCATACTTCATCCCTAAATTTCACCTTAACGTGTTTTAATAATCTAGAATCGTGTTAAAATTTACTAACTATTGCACAATCATTTGTCATCTTGACTTTCTTCCTCTTGTTCCTTATATACTATACTAATTATTGTTTTCATACAACAATCACAAAATAACACAATAAATAAAATAAAGAAAAAATAAATAAAATGATAGCAGAAGGCTTTATACACATAGAACACCTACCAAAACAATGCACTACAAAAATTACAACGTTTCTTTATATATAGAACAAAGATATCATGCAATCATTAAAAGACTATTATACCAAACATCATCTATTAAATTACTAAGTGAAAAATCTAACTAATACTAAAAACATTCTAATAGACATTTGCTTGTATTTTTCATAGAATAACCATGATTTAGAATTAATACATCATCACTTCCAACAGATAAGAAAGCATTAGGTAGCAAATAAGAGTCCTTCTTCCACAATAGGTTTCTTTTTTGTATTTTTTTCTCAAGCGTGTTTTTGTTGAACACTTGTTAAAATACAAATAGAAGCAACTCTTTTTGTCCAAGACTTAGGCATTTGTGTAACCTTCATCTCACATGTCCACATCATGTACTTGGTGCTCCAATCTTACACTCACATTGTTTCAAATCACATGCTTCTGATTTTTTCTTCCATATATATACCCATATTTTTATGTTAAATCAATAACAAAATGTAATAAATATCTATTGTCACCATGTTTTGAAATTTCAATTAATTGTGCACAAATATGAAGGAATTATATCTCAACTTTCTTTTTCCTTCTATACTTCCTTATGCCTCTTTCTCATCCCACACAAATTCATCAGGAATATTGACAATAGATTATTCCTTATAAAAATAATATAATCCAAAAATTTAAGGTATCTAAAATAGATGTGCCACAATGTTATTTTCGAAATATTTTTTTAACTTTACAATATAATTAACATATTATTCTAAAAGGTAATCTATTTTTACAGATATGATTGTATCTAACTATTTTCATCCTCTAAAAAGTAATACTTCCCCAAAAAAGTTGTGGGATGTTTAGATTCCCTCGATATATTGTTTAAATATGAAAATTGCAACTTTTTACACCAAAATATTACATGTAGAAAACACTTGAAATTTTTGTTTTCCCATAATTGTTACCTTTTCCTTTTTCGGCCAAATAGAACTAGTTTTAGTCATTCCTTTATTAGACAATGTGTATCTTTTCCTTGCTAGAAACTGCTGCATCTGCATCTGCTTCCTCGAAAAATCCCTTGATATCTCCATGTGTTATTGGGATCATATATGTGTTGTTGAACTGATCAATTATTGGTGTCGTTACAAGTCAAACTTTATTTACATTGATAAGAGAGTTTTCTTTCATCTTATATATTAAACTTGCATGAATGAAAAACATAAAAAACTAATCTCAGATACATAATGAAACAAAAAAAAGAGAACATTTCTGTGCACAGAAAATTGATTCCGGTTGACATCTTAACATGGTATCCCTATAATCTTGTATTCGTAAAGTTTTAACAATTAGATAATAGTATAAGCTTAAATGACTATATATAAAAGTGACGTGTTACCATTTTCCTCAATTTATGACTACACAAATCAGGCACATAAGGCAATGTAGTTACAGTTTACAACTTGATGCAGTTTTTCTTTCACTCAACAAGATGAGAAAAATAAATAAATGCGAATATAAATACTCAAACTTTGACGTGTACAAATGTTTTGTAGTCATTTATATGCATATATCTGATATCTATATTGCTATTGACTAGTTTTGGCAGAGAGAAGTAGCAAGTTTGAGGCAACAAGTGCAGTACATGCAAGAATGTTACAGGTAAAAAGTTAAGCAACTAGCATTTGTGTAATTGTTGTACTAGTCAGAAATATATGGAAACTAGTGAGTTATTAGGTAAATTCATTTGAAAAAATTAAAGCAATTATTTAAGAGGGTATAATGTTTAAGTCGACTATAAAAGGAAAATAGATACTTATAAGAATGGAAAAAAATTCATAACCTCATATTATATAACATTTAAGAATTTCCAGAAAAAAAAAACTGTAGTAGACATCCATATAATCTATCTGATAAACAAAATAAAGAATATGGACAAGAGTCTGGCCATCATGATTAACCCTTGCATGTAATTGCATTGTTAGAATACAAACACATAAGAACATAAGAACAAAATAATAATAATAATAATAATAACACTAGTACAAAATATACTTTTAAACTTGCACAATAGACCTCTTTTTATACAAAACTGCTGTCTATTCAGACACGGTGGCAATTTAGTAAATAACGAGACTTTATAGGCCTCGGTTCAGACGAGACCGGTGCCAAAAAGAGATATTACTTCGGTTGTAAAGACAACCGGTGCCTAATTATTAGTGTCTGACGCAGTTTCTGACGCGGTTAAAAGGAACCCGAAATAAAAGAACTGTACGACATCGGTTTGTACGAACGACCGAGGCATAAGCCTCTACTGCTCAGACCCGAGGCATATAAGCCTCTCTTTTTTTCCCCAAAATTTTCCCCAAGTTAACCTATATCTCCCTCCGCACTCTCCCCTCCCCTGGCTCTCCCTCCCTCCCTCCCCTGGCTCGCGCCTCGCCTCCCCTCCCCTCGCTCTCGCCTCCCCTGGCTCTCGCCTCCCTCCCCAGGCTCTCGCCTCCTCTCGCTCTTGGATTCTTCTCTCCCTCCATTCCATTGCCGCTTCTTCCTTACCCCCACGAACCTCCCACAACTAAACCACACCACGCCACTGCCAGCCCCAGATCTGCCACCGTTTCCGTAAAGAGCACCCGATGAAGAGGAAGGAGAGGCATCGCGCAGTCGGCGGCGGCGGAGGAAGAGCAGCGCGCGACAGAGGAGTGGACAATCTCCGATGAGATGCGGCAGCTGAAGGAGAATATCGGAGAAGAATGGCGCGAGGATGAGGGCCTTGTGGCGGAGGCAGATGCGGAGGGCGCGGGGGCGAATGCGGAGGGCGCGGAGGGCGCGGAGGCGAATGCAGAGGATGTGGCGGAGGAGGAGGAGAAGCGACAGAGGCAGCGGTGATGGCGGAGGCGGATGCGGATCCAGATTTCATTTCTTTTTGTCCAGCTTGTGCGGATCCAGAAGCTTTTTTGTCCAGATTTCATTTCTTTTTGTTTTGATTTGTTTGGTTCCTTTGTTAAATTGAATTTGACTTTACTTGTTAAATTGATTTGTTGAATTGAATCTGAGAAGCTTGAGGCACCATAATGATTTTTGTCAAGAAGCTTGAGCAAGTGTCTGTCTGATTCTTCTATCAGTGTTTCACATTTTCACTCACCCTTCATCAATGGCACTCTCAGTTTGCAGTGTTGGCCCCTGGAAGGTAGCGTGAGTGTGGTACGGTGTGAGTGGGAAGGTAGCTTCAAATTTCAATGGTTGATTGTGGCAGGTGAAGATGGGTCCTCTGAGTGTGTCTCCCATGGGGTTTGGAACTTGGGCATGGGGCACCAAAATGATTTTTGTCAAGAAGCTTGAGCGAAAAAAAAAATAAAAAATGGACCCTACTGCCTCGGTTCAGGCTCCAACCGAGGCAGTAAAGGGAGTGAAACGATTCCGGTTGTTAGAACCGAGGCCTAATCGTATTATTATATGTCCCGTTTCAAAACCGAGGCATAAAGTCCACTGTTTTTTACCTCGCCCGAATATGCCTCGGTTCAAGAACCGGTGCCTATCAGCGAAAATAACCGCTGTCGTTTCCCTTAACTGTACTAGTGTAATAATTTTAAATGCAGAAAGAAAACCCAACCACCGAACATGTTGACTATTATTACAGAGATAGAATTAACACCCAAGCCAAAACCAACATTTATGTCTCCTACAAAACAATGTCCAAGAAAAAATTTGAAGGTATATATTAGCATTTTATAGTCAAATCGCTAAAACAATCAGTTGTCATCCATGGATACCAAATTGGTTTACCAATCTTTGTTTGACTCATCTTCACCATTATCACATAGTAGATCTCCTTTCTTTTTATATTGTGATAAGAATCCTCGTAAGTGTAGTATAAGAGGTGCTTTAGAATTACCTATCCAATAATGATCATCATATATGCAACATTTGGATAATTTTTCTCACCAACATAAAGTATGTTTACAATTCCTTTGAAAGTGTTTAAATGTTTTCATGAATTCAAGTTTTAACCATAACTCAAATGCATTGGTATAACTTGATGGAATATCAATCAATATATTAATTAACAACTTTGTGATTCAGAAGTTTTCCGACCTTTTTTCCACACTTGTCGTATTAGTGATTGGCACATATAGTCCTTGAAGTATAAATCACTTTTCATCATCAACTTGAAATAGGAGAATTTGTCTGTAATTAGTTTTAATAACATCAAACATGGATGACAACTCCCTCCATCTTGAATTATATAGGCTAAAACTTTCTTAAATGTGTGAAATCATGCTATTATTCAGAATTGGCAAAAATCATACTTAAAATACTATTTAACTAATTACATAGACTGAAACTAAGGAGATAAGAATGATTTAGTAATAAAATTGGAAGAGAGGATGTACGAGATTGTGGGTTTAACTCCCTCACTAACAATTTGGAGATATAAGGTTAGTTTAGTGGGTTTGAAAGGGATAGTGGAAGAGCTACAGGGATGAACATGAATAGGACTACAGGGATGAACATGTGTCTTCTACTTTTATGTTTTTTGGATGATGTTATACTGTCTTTGGCGTTTGTAATTTCAAATATTTCTTTTTGTTTGTAAAAGGATTGGACCCTTTTAAGAGTTTCTTATATTTAATCAATTCTTTGTTGTTAATGAAAATATATATTTTTAAATACAAAATAATATCATGAAAAGACAAACATAAGCATAAAGAACACAAAAATAACACCCATTTTTTTATGTGAAAACTCTTTTTAGATGAGGAAGAAATGATGAGATTGATCTAAGAAAACATCTCTATTCCGAAAGAAAGATTATAGAACTTGTCTCTATAAATCACTAAAATAGTGGCGTTCCTCCTATATTATTTTCCTTTTTTTCTATGTTGGATTTCTCAAGTCAACACACTGGGAAGATTCAGTATCTAACTTGAGATATGTAGATCAATAAGTACTAAGAGACGTATATCTGATTAGTCTTAAGCTATGAGTTAACCCATATATAAGAAATCTGAAATTATTTTTAACATAAAGCTTTAAGATAACAAGTTTATATATATATATATATATATATATATATATATATATATATATATTGTTGATTTTACTTATTTTTACTCGATAAAAAATTATTAACTTCATACTTGAATTCTTCGTAATCTCTCTTTATATATGAGTCTCCCTTCCTATATGATATTTTCCATAAATGACAAAAATTGTTAGTCAATTGTTGGGTTCGGAACAACATTCTCCAAAAGAATTTCTAGAATAGGAAAGATGAAAAAAGCGAAAATGAAAATGTTTCACCTCACCATTCACAAGTCTTTTTGTTTATAGATGTAGAGATACCTGTCTTCGTTCATAAAAGAATACACTTTAAGAGGAAAAAATAAATAAATCTTTAATATTTCTTATCTAAATGCATTTTTTAACGAGTATATGATATTGAAGAATTTTATCTTTTTGTACACAAACAATTATAATTACCACCTTTTTTAGTAGTACTTCGTCACTTAAGAAAAGCAATTCCAACACTATGGACTCTCGACCTCAAACTATGACCTTCCGATAACACAGTAACAACTCTATATATAGTAAAAAACAGACATACAAACGATAATATTATTTGTCCAACAACTTTAGTGGAATATTTTGGTTCTTATAAAACATCAGCAATAAGCACACTTAAAGGAAGAACAAGGTTTTAAAAAATATAGAAAGAATGATACTCCATACTTCATTCTTGGAAAGCGCAGGCAAATGATGGGCGAACAACTTTCTGGTTTGCATATTAAGGAGTTGGGGAATCTGGAAAATCGACTGGAGAGAAGTTTGAAGGGTGTTCGCATGAAAAAGGTATCATCCTTCAAAGTCAAAGCAAACCAAAACTAGCTCATCGATCCATTTCATGGTACATGCTTCAGTCTTACATTATCACTTACTTTTATTATCTGTGCAGGATCAAATTCTGATTGATGAGGTCAAAGAACTACACCAAAAGGTTTCATGGATCAGGTTTTGTTCCTTAAAATGATTCCTAGTATTCCAACAAATTTCTGACTGCTAATTTAATCGATGCTATTGTAGGGAAGCCAAGCCAATCAAGAAAATGTCGAACTTCATAGAAAGATAAATCTCATGCGCAAGGACAACGAAGAACTACAAAAGGTATATATACAGAAACTCATCATTCATAGTTTCTTACATATATGTTTTATTTTAAGCTTAATAATTTGAATTTCAGGTTATTGAAGCAAAAGAAAAGGAAGGTGCTGCAACATCCAATCCTTCTTGCACTATCAGTTATGGATATGACATATTTGCTCCTATTAGTCTCAAGCTAAGCCAGCCACACCCTCATCACAGTGAACCACAAGCCAAAGCAATGAAACTGGGGTATTCCTCAAATTCATGCTCCTTGCTCTATAAATATGTTTATGATCCCGATTAATTAATATACTAAATTTTGGTTTTAGATTTTTCAGACTTGCTTTTTTATTGTGTTTTTTTTTCTGAATTTTTAAACGTGAACGAAAACCAAGGATTTGAATTGTAGTTTCAGATTCATGGAAGTGTAGTTCTGGAGAGTCTAAAATGCTTGTCTATTCATAATTTAGCATCTTTATAGATAAAAACATGTTTAATCTATTCATAATTTCTTTTAAACTAATTATCTAAAGTTTGTACCAGATTAAGCGCCACGTAGAAAGAAGTGTTGGAGATGATTCTGACAAGCTCCAAGACTTGGTCCCAGTGATTGTACAAAATGTACATGAAAATAGATCATCTATCAGAAGATCTACATGCACTTGTTACAAGAATCTGACACATATAATGGTTACTCTGTAACATCAATACAATAAAGATTATATTGTCATTTGTGGTTGGTGGTTTTATATAATACTGTCTATGTATTTGTCATGATCAATAATATGCAAATCTGAGGATAACCCTTGAGGCCTATCTTTCCCGACCATAAAATGTTAAAAACCTTTAAAAGAAAAGCAAGTAGAAACATATATTAATTATTGTGTTTTTCTCTTTCATTGAAATAGATCCTAAATTTCATTTTCTGTTGTTTTAGAATAGATTATATAATATAAAACTACATTAATATAAACCTACGATGACTTTTATTATTTTTTATTAAAAATGGATTTGATAACGAGTGAATGTTTGTTACCTACATTAGTTGCATGTCTTACTAGTTGTAGGTAATGACGCAGAAGACATTAGGAAGTATAAATTTAGAGGCTCTTAGAATACTCAAGGAGAGTTTCAATGTATATATTTTTCTCTATTAGGTGAAGTATGTTTGCATATATATAAATAAATAAATAAATAAATATATATATATATATATATTGATTGTTGGAGTCACGGGTGCAAAATAGGTATATTAATCAGTTATGAAATACATATTAGATCGGTATGTTGAAGACATATTTGATTGGTTGTGCAACTTATCTGTAAGTGAAAAAATAAACATCTTTTAAAGTAACCATGTGAAAGTGTAAAGGAGAGAACCAAGAATTACCAAAAACCATCGACAAACCATCATGGACCACTACCAACAAATCACCACTAGTGAACCACCATGAAGAATAATGCCCCAACCACAAAGCATACACTTAGTTGACTAAGAGACTTCATGAAAAACCATGAAGACTAGTATCACTTCGGTTAAGCAAGGACATCACGATTGTGTTTCATTTGTAAAGCAAATGCATAAAGCACCAAGCGTCGAGAAGAGACAACTACAAAGAGAGATTTTTTCACAAACAACAGCCCTAAACATAAAAAAAATAGTAAAAAACATTAATTTGTTGCATCAATTGCTAAAGAGTGACTTAGAAGATGACTAGCGCGGTAAGACAATGGTCGGAGGACGATAATAATTGTGAATAGTATGGAAGAGACATTGTTTTTTTTCATGAAAGAAAAGAAGAAACAATAGAAGTACAAAAGAAAGAAACTTTTAAAAATAAAAAGAAAAAATCACAATTTATAATGAAAAAACGTATTATATTAATTATTTTTAAACCGATTTAATATATATATATATATATATATATATATATTAAATTAGTTTTTTTTATAACCGATCTATAATATATGATATTGTATCAATTTTTAATATTTATAAAATTATAATTACATTTTGAATTAAATCAATTTTATTACAACTGATTTATATTATATTTTAATATTATTATCTTCCCAAGTACTATGCTTATAATATATTTATTTGTTATAAAATTTACAATGTCACTTTGTATATGACAAAACAAAATACACCTAATTAATAAAACAATATTTTAATTAAAAAAATATAAAAATTTGAAGTACTTAACAAAATAGAAAAAACAAAAAATTTAACTAAAATAATTAACTTTAAGAATTTAAAAATTAAATAAACCTATAATATATCTGCATTTAAGAAAACTTGATTTACAGTGTCTTCCTTCCAGAGGAAAAAAATGTTTTCTTTTATTAAAAGGAAGAACCAATATTTTAACAAATAGAATATATCATTATAAAACAATAAAAAATTATAATAAAAAGAAAGTCGCTAAATTAATTTATATTAGAAAAATATTGAAAATGATTTTCTTTAGAAGATTAAGTTGGTCTATAATATAAGGTTTTTGGATATTAACATCACAACATTTGTCTTAAGAAATATTACTTTACTATTAAATTAATAATACTTTTTAACAAATTTGCATTCTCAAGGAAAGAAATGAAAATAAAAAAATCAAAGTTGAAAATTTTAATGTTGACTTAACAGCACAGCACATGACATTTGTTGTCATTGTATTCTGTTACATCAATTATTTCGGAAAACATTATGGAAAAGATGCTTTAATCATGAAACAGATTTATTAGTTTACTGGATTGAAATTAGTACAAAAGATTCCTCAACAAACACTTGTGATACAAACAATATCTAAACAACTTTTTTATTGTCTTATTCAGGTACTTTGATAAGGTGTTTAATTGAATGAGATGATTTAAGAAGGAGAGAATGAATGAATCCAATGAATTCGAGAATAAGTTGTGTTTGTGGGTGCTTGAAAATAAATTTAGGGTAAAGTTTAAATAGAATTTGATAATAATAAATAAATAAATAAATTGATAGAAAACAAAAGTTATTAAATTATCTTTAATGATAATAGTAGTATAAAATAATATTTATGTGTAATATATTTCACTTTTGTAAAAATGATTTGAAATGATAGAATTAAATAAAAATAAAAATTAATTTAATATATTTCTTTTCCTACACATTATTAATATATTATTATTACAATAATAATAACACAACAAAGTTTCCTTCTAATTCATGCTCTGCTAACAAAGTTTTCACCTTTAGATAAAATAAGAGACATCTCAATCAAATAAGTTATAATATCTTCGTAGGTCCTTATTTTTGTCTAGAATCTCAAATAAGTCTCCTTCTTTTTCGGTGTCTCAATTTAGTCCTTATTTTGTGAAAATTGCATCAATTAGACCCTTACTGTTAAATTGAACCTAACGACGTTAATATATACTTGATGTGGCACATTGGATTATATTTTTAATTCATGTGGCTAAATGATATGAATTTGGGTTATTTTAAAATTAAAAAATTGAAAAAAAAATTGGCATCCTTCTTTACAACCTCTTTGTCCTTGAGAACATCCTTCGTGAAGAAGAATTATGCCATGTCAGGCTTGACGGAATCAACAACGGAGAGAACAACGTCGACGGCGAGGGGCGCAAGAAGCATGAAGTACTGGCTCACGACCTTGCGGTTGAGAGAGGTGCTAGCGGACTTCACGAGAGAGTCGTGGTCTGAGAGCTCCACGGTGGGGATATCCACTACCTTTACGGCGATCTTGTGGAGGGAGTCGGAGACGACGGTGGGGTGAATGCCATGGGAGAGTTGGAGGCACTGCTCGAGCAGGGCTTCGGCAATAACAACGACCGTGGTAGCATTGTCGCCGGCAGCGGAGTCCTACAACTTGGAGAGCTCGATGAGCATCTTGGATGTGGTCTGGACGACCTACATCTTGTTGAGGAAGGTGGAGATCATCTTGTCCATACCCTTTGGGTCCGAGACTGGTGCGCACATTGTTGGCGACGGAGCAAGCGGCCACGATGTTGGCATGGCGGAGCGGAAAGGGTTGGAATCGATGATCTGCTTGGCGATTGATGATAATGACCCACCACTTCCATTCTCAGGGGCCCCTGTTTAAAAAGACTCGACCTTTTGAACACACGATGTGTTTTCTAGTTGCAAGAAAGAGACTTTTAAATGGGGTTCTTCTTCAGGAGCACGAGGGTTGGGGTTAAACCGCCATAAGGAGGTCCCGCCTCCATATGATCTGCTCTCATCACCACTGCCTAACTCTCGACAATGGAGGAGGTGAAGGGACCTTGTTGGACGAGTTCACCAGGAATGCTTCTTCGATGCCACCATCAACCTCGCTGTCACGCGCAACCCTCAACCTTGGTGGTGGCGCGTTCTGCTTGTGTGGTTGTGCATGGGCGGATGGTAGTTCTGTTGTCGATTGATGGAGGCGAGGCGCGAGAATGTAGATTGGGTTTTCCTCTCCAGGTTGACGAAGGCAGTGATGGCTCGCGGTACTCTGGCGATGGTGGATGGAGAAGATGAACGGAGATTCGTGGAGTGTGGTTGCTTGTGCATTGTGGAGAGACTCACCCAGTGGTGACGAGCGTGATTGATGCGCTGTGGTGGTTCTCTATTTCTCTGCAAATGCGTTAATGGCAGAGGCGCGAGGGTTTGGTTTCAATTGGGTTTTCTGGATGTTGGCAGGGTGGTGACAGCTAGGATGGTTGGTGACGCGTAGAGGTGGTCGCGGGGGCGTCCTCGTGATGGTCTTCTGGGTTGAGTTTGCAGGTGTGTGGTGATTACTATGGCTGGCGACCTGAAGGTTGACGGTAGAGGTCACCTGAAAGACATGTCAGAATATAATAAATTACACGTCATTTAAAAACCAAAATAAGAATGCCATGTCAACTTAACAATAACACCGTTAGGTCCAATTTAAGGGTAAGGGTCTAATTGATGCAATTTTCACAAAATAAAGACTCAATTGAGATGCCAAAAAAGAAAGGGACTTATTTGAGATTCTGGACGAAAATAGCGACCTACGAAGACATTAAACCATAAAATAATTAATATTTTGTAAACAGAAGTTCATTTCAAATTTTATCTTTTATTTAAGGTTTAATGTCTATTTAGGTCTCTATTTTCGCCAAGAATCTTAAATAGATCTCTTTCTTTTTCGACGTCTCAATTGGATCCTTATTTTTGTAAGATTAAATCAAATAAAGGCTTTCCGTCAAATTGATCAAACACCGTTAAAGAGGGTGTTACGTGGCATGTTGACAGTGTAGGTTTTTATTACGTTGCATTAAAAACGTGACTGAGATGTATTTTTTTAATTTTTGAATTAAAAAATGAAGTGTACATAGTGGAAATACGTTTTTAAGTAAGGACAAAGTTGGAAATGAATTAAAATTAAGTGTTAAAACCCCCATTGTCCTCTGCAAGCGAAATCCAAATGAAATTGGGGGAGCGGTTTAGGATTTCTGGGAGAAAAGAATATTATTCACAATGATCCAAAATCGACTTGACATTCCGAACAAAATATATTTACACTTTGTCAAAGGTGTCGGAAGTAATTGTATCATGTGCCTGCTTAATTCATAAACTAATGAATTAAAAAGAATGAACGAATGTGATGGATTTTGTTTGTAATCACAGAACCGACAACACTTCCAAGAACTTCACCTAACGCCGATCCAGCCATCTAATCCTGACCAATTCTCTGGTGTCTTATCAGTGACAAGCTGCTGGAGACGACTCTCCGGAGAACTTGTCCACCCAGAGTGCTCATCGGAATCTAGGGATGACGGGAGCGAAGCCATTATGGTGGAAGCCCAGTCAGGAAAATCGAAGTGGGTCCTCGGTGACGGCGACAGTAACGGTTGATGAACTTTCTCAAACGAAAATGAGTCAACTTTGATGAAAGGGTGCTTCAGAAGCATCTCAACGCTCCACTTGTTCTTGGGATCCTTAACAAAGCACTTCTCCAAAAAGTCCTTCCCCTCTTCCGACAATTCTTCTGTAATCTTTGGCAATTCTTCTCCCACTCCAATCCGAATAATCAATGACCAAATACTGGAACCGTTGCTAACATCCCACACGGGTTTTCCGGTCACCATCTCCACGACGGTGCATCCCAAGGCCCAAATATCCGCTAACGGCTCATATTCATTATTTTTCACCGATTTTGGCGACATAAACAACGATGTTCCCCTGAACTCACACTTCCCTTGTTTCTTACCCTTCTCCTTGGTGAGTCCAAAGTCCGCGATTTTCACCTCGTCGTCAGAAACGAGAACGTTCTGAAGCTTCACGTCGAAGTGAACGAAACCTTGCTCGTGAATATGTTTGAGCCCTTCCATGATAGACCTCGTGCATCGCCGGACGAAAGGCTCCGGGAGGCTTCCACCGTGTTTCTTGACCTGGTCGCCGAGGAACCCTTCAGTAGCGCGTTCGAAAGAAGATCGCACTTTTGTTTTCTCCCACGAATCCTAAACCTCAACTTTCCCAATTTCATTTCAATTTCGCAATTGCAAAGGACAATGGGGCTTTCAGTACTTAATTTTATTTCATTTCCAACTTTTCCCTTACTTAAAAACTTGTTTCCATTATGTACACTTCATTTTTTAATTCAAAAATTAAAAAAATATAATTCAGTCACGTTTTTAATGCCACGTAATAAAAAACTACACTGTCAGCATGCTACCTAACACCCTCCTTAACTGCATTTGATCAATTTAACGGAAAGCCTTTATTTGATTCAATTTTATAAAAGTAAGAATTCAATTGAGACGTCGAAAAAGAAAGAGGGGTCGTCAAACAAAAAGTTTATAGCAACAAGCTTGGCCAACACAATATTGACCAACACGAGTTTGACCAACACAATCTCGACCAACATGAGCTCAACTAACACGAGATCGACCAACACAAGCTATATACTTTATAAAATATATTGATTATCAATAACAATACCCCCATATATTGCCAAAGATAAGTTATGAAAAGTGTGAAAGAAGAAAATTATGGGTCTCATATAAGATATAATGTATGAGAGATGATATAGCAAGTTATATAAACCAATCTTAGATCAAGAAACTTAGTAAGCTATATATAAACTAAAGACAGTTGACATTTTTTAGTGGTTTATCAACAACAATACACCCTACAATCCTTGTTGTTATCGATGTGTTATGCTTACTAGGCAATGTGTGTGCTCGTTATTCATGAGTAGTCTAGAGATAATGTCAATATCTCATCCAAGCGGCTCCACTCAACACTCGTATAGGTGATTTCAGCAAGTGTATGTTGCAAATCATACACCACATGTAAGGGATATAAAAAATCATTAAAAACTTTGTTTAACTAAAATTATTACACCATATAGAATTTTAATTAAAAAATTTAACCTCTCAATAATGCAATCTCTAGCACTTTCACACACATCATAAGAATGGGCATAATTGATTAAAAATCAATTTAATGCTATCAGAACTAACGAGTGACTTACTCTAACTCATATGAACCTTATTCCTAGGATCTCTAAACACAAAGGTTGGGTTATCATCACTTGTTTATTTGCAATTGGCTTAAGTCTCATTCCTCTAGATGTTTCTAAAATCACATCACATCACTTCCTAGGATTTTTTTAGAGGATCTGCTAAACTCTGTTCTGACTTCACATAATCAATGGAAATTGTTCCACTCTTTAGCAACTTCATCAAATTATATCTTAATGGTATATGTCTATTATTTCCATTATGGTTTTTGTTTTTGGCTATAGTTTTTTCCGATTGACAATCACAATGTATTGACATAAAAGAAGTTGGTTTTATTCTTAGTGGAATGTTAGCTAAGAAGTTCGTCAACAACTCAACTTCACTACCAGCCATTTCTAGAGCAACAAATTCAAATTCCAATGTTGATCTTACAATAATAGTTTACCTGGCTGGTCTCCATGTAATTGCACCACTATTAATTGTGAATACATAACCATTAGTGGATTTTGTCTCATCTAAATTAGAGATCCATATAACATTATTATACTATTTTAGTACAACGGGAAATCCACTATATTCAATGACATAATTTATTAAACCTCTTAAATATCTAATAAGTCTGGCAAGTGCATCTCAATATTCCTAATTAGAATTTGGGTTTAATATGCTTTTAGTCCCTTAACTTTCAATGAAAATTGGATTTAGTCCATCTTTGAAACTTTGGACTAACTTAGTCTCCCATCTTTAGAATTGTATTGATTTAGTCCTTTTACCAAATTTATTTAAGTCTATTTGATGTTTAAAATGCATTTCTCAATTAACATCGAAGCGAAAATGTGTCAAATGGTATAAACAACTCAAATACTATCATGAAACGCATTTGAAACATCAATTAAATCTAACAAAATTTAGTTAGAAGGACTAAATCCACACATTTGTAAAGTTAGAGGACTAAATTAGGCCAAAGTTTTTAAAAGAGACTATTTTCAATCTTCACTAAAAGTTAAGGGACTAGAAACATATTTAACCCTTAGAATTTTAAATGTATCTTCTTAGTCTACCTACTGCATAAGTAATATAAAGTCTAAAAAAAGTCATCAAATGCAGTAAGCTCTCAATTATCTAGGCATATTGAGGTTGAGAAATAGATTCTCCCATATTTTTCATTAATTTAAAATTAGTATCATAAGACATATTCACTCATTTGGTGTCATAAATTCTAAACTTCTGCAACAGTTTCTCATGTATTATTTTAGGATAGTAATGTACTATCTCCTTTCCTTATGATTCTAACTTCTAAAATCATGTTAACTTCACCTAGGAACAACGTATATTTCAAAATAAGATTCTAGAAACCTTAGTCTCACAGACTATTTCATTGGATATATCAATCATTAACATGTCATCCACATATATAAATATATAATGACATATGTATTCTGAGATTTAAAGTACTATCAATATCATTAGGTGAAAAGTCATCAAAAATAGTTATTTCCTACTCGTTTGAAAATAGGGTTAGATTCACTCAAAATAAAAAAAAATTCTCTTAGTAATTGAGTAATATTGCTTACACCCCCACAATATTAAATATTTAAGATTGATAAACGAGCAAATACCTGATTATGCTCCTCCGATTTGTAGGTAGATCACAATCTTTCACGTGGGGGAAAACTTATTCAAAACACAAAAATAGTTCTTCTCTTAAGAGCCTATGATAGAGATATTATGAATCTTTCTCTAGTCGATCTTGTCGAGTTGTCTTATCGAGCTCTTCCATGGTTGTCCAAGTTTGTCGAGATCGTCCTCAACTACCTGAGCCTGTCATGCTCCTCCGAGCTTGTCGAGCTTGCCTCGACTAACCGAGCCTGTCAAGCTTTGCTTCAGCTGCCTAAGCCTGTCGAGCTTCGCCTTAGTTACTTGAAGCTTGTCGAGCTTTTCCTCGACTACCTGAGCTTATCGAGCTTCGCCTCTTTGCCTGAAATTGTCGACCTCCTCCACGGCTACCCCAAGCTTATCGAGCTCTACCTAAGTAGGTTCTCTTTGGAAGGAGACATTGTGTCGCCTCCGCGCCAACAGCCTAAAAAATATCATGCTTCCATGCCATTTCACACAACCCCTGCATCATTGTCTTTATCATCGAACTAGGTCCTTACCGGATGGGTGTCATGCATAACCTCTAAAATTGACCATGGAACCCTCTGTTGCCAATCACCTAGACACTTGTGAAGTCCCGACGGGCTTCATCCGATAGCTTCTTCAAGAAGCTCACGCATGTCAGGCCTTCTACCCCACCCTTTCACCATATGAAAGCATTGCATCGCGAGGTTGCGAAGAGGCAACGTTGGGAACCAATGCCTTTGTTGCAACAACTATTGCCACTACTAAAAATGCTTACAAGTGGTTCTTCAAATGCTTCTAAGAAGAATAAATCCTTAATATTGTTGGAGAATTTGATAAGAAAATAATTTAAATGGATTTCCTGAGGCGTGAATTATCAATGTCCTTAAGGATTTATCTACATAAATTTTTTAATAAATACAAGACTTATAATGATATTGGAGATACTGAAAATACTGAAAAAAAAAACAAATTGGCTTTAAAACGTTATTCTTTGTAAATGCTTAAGGTATAATAGGAACGTCTCTATATTAAGGAATTCAAATTTAGCAAGAAGAACTCTTTAAAGAGTAAATATAAACCAAGATACACAAGAATAAGAAAAGAAAGGACACATCAACAAGTGTTTTTTGTCGTGATTTGGGGAAGCACATGTCACCTATTTATAGATGGAAGAGGGGTTTGAAACCAGCTAAAAACCATGACATGTGGAAGATATGTCACACCTTACAATTGGAACTAATAACTCTCGCAATGCTTATGGTTATAGTTATTCAAGTTTTGCAGAGGAAAGGTCGTCTAACAACAAATTTGTTTCAACAAGGTTGACCAACACAATCTCGACCAATACTAATTCGGTCAAGACGAATTCGACTAAAACACAATCTTGATCAAGATCGACTAATACAAACTTGACTAACATGAAATCGGTCATCACATACTCAACCAACACAAACTAAACTATTCATTCATAATTGTGAAAATAACCATAACTAGTTCAGGTGTTTTGGTTAAGGATTTGGATTCATGTTTTCTCGTAAGTAACTTTAGCCATTAAAAAAAAGTATGACAAGAACACACTAATGCAAAAACAGCATATAACGTCACGCGTTCAACATCTAACTACTCAATAGCAAACGTTAAAAATGACCGGTGGTAATTTTGTAAATAAATGCAATTATTAAACGTTGTTTAGAATTTTAATTCGACGTAAAAGGATATAAAACGTCGAATGCCTCAGTGTTAGACGTCAAAAGGTTAGTGAATTCAATAAAAATGTGAGCGGGAGATTGAAAATTCATTCACTGGTCAAACTTTTCTCGAACGAAGTTTGACTACCATCACATGTAATCTTTCTTTTATTTGATACAAATGCATGTTAATTAACTACTTTAGGTATGATTTTCGTTTGTTTTCACCGATTATTTTCGTGTTCTTGTCCTTCATATGCGCATTATGTTTTCTCTCTCACTAGTGGCACTTTATTCCGATGAACCCACCTTTTGAATGTTAGTTTTCGTTTTCGTTTTAAAGAACTTATTTGTTGAACTTGTTTGTTTGTTTTTTTTGTTGAACTTGTTTGTTGTTATTGTTTGGTTGAACTTGTTTGTTGTTGATGTTTAATTGAACTTGTTGTTTGATTGAACTTGTTTGTTGTTTGTTATTGTTATTTGTTGTTCATCCTATATTATCGTTCATAGTTCTGCTTGTAAAAAGGATTACAATTATTTAAAATAAAAATTGATTAACGTCGTATATTGACAAAATTCGACGTTAACGAATTTCATCTCCCAATATGACCTCGTTCTCGAATTCGACATGAAATACAAAAAATATTCGACGTTGTAAGCTGTTATTGTACTCATTACAGTAGAAGAAGGATAATCCAAGTACAAAATAAAGCTTAGATAAGAAAAAAAAGAAGAAGCAAAAATTCATGGTTGGATTACAAAACCTATGATAATTAAATTATAACGTTAGTTGTCCTTAATCTCGTAACGTTGTTGGCCATTGTAAATTTGCCCTTCAATATTTAACTACCAATCACCGTACTCTGATATTTCTTAGTGTTTCTCATCATATCATATTAAATTCTCACCACTACTCATTTCACTTCACTCCAATCTTAAACATAATTCTAAGAGTCTGTGTCAGTTTCAAGTCTCAGATTTAAATAAAATAAATAATACAAAAACCTACGTACTCATTCATTTAAAATTAGGATTAGAAAGAAGTGTATTATCTTAATTTTTTATAAACCCATAACTTGATGATACAAACCTTAAAAGTATCGAACAACTCATCTAAGGCCTCATTTTCTTACACAAATCCTATGTCATAAATTAATTAATTATCGATCAAGTTTAATCACATACACTGCCTCATTTCGTTGACAATTGTCAGTACAGCAGTACAGTACGGTACGTGATTCAAAAAATAAAATAAAAAATGTTTGACTATTTTTATTTTTATTTAATATCTTTCAGTCCATGATTTTATTTTAGATTTAATCTCTTAATTTTGTAAACTTTGTCTATTTTTTACATTTATTCTTTGAAAAAAATTTAATAGTATTTTTTTCTCTGTTAATTAATAGTGGTGTTGATGGGTGAAGGCGTTATTGATGTTTCAACGACTTATTATTATATGAATATGAGAATGTTGGTTTAATATTATGATGTTTTATTTCTGGAAATTGCGTTTTCAAGGATATTATGATTAAGAATGATATTGTTAGGCAAGTTTCAAATTCTGTTGGTTAAGTTTGATATTTTTAAGAATAGTTGTAAATTTTAACATAATGGAAATAAAATTACAAATCAAAGTTATAGTAAGGATAAAAAAAGGCTAATAGAAAGGTACGAGGAAGAAATAAATGAATCATATAAAATATATGAATCATATGAAATATCTTTATATAATGAAAGTTTTTTGCTATAAATATTTTATTAGAAAGATTTAACTTTTTGCTATAAATATTTTATTAGAAAATTTTAATTTTGCTTATATGTGTATGATATGTAAAAGATATTGAACATTAGAATAACTAAAACTTGAAAATTTTATCCTCTCACTATGGGATATTTTTCATGTGAATTCCACAATTTTGTTTTTCAAAATTAATGTTTATTTTGGTTCAGCTAAAATTTAAAAAAAAAATCTCATTTTTTTTACCCTTTGGCTCCCTCATGTGACAGAAATGAAAGAAAACATATAATATAGATCCACATTACTCAATTTTAAAAGAGAAGCAAGATAAAAGAACATTTCAATAAAAAAAGAACTAAAATAGTATTATATTTTATAATGTTTCTTCTCTTAATATTTTAAATAAAAAAA